ACCTGCGCTTGGCCCAGGAGGATGACGTGAAGCTAAAGGATTTCACGTGGGCCCGTCGTCCGGTTCAGGAAGAAAGGGGGCCGGAAAGCTGCGGACGACACGGCCAGTGCCTCCAGCCTGTCTCTGGGGGGGTGTGTTTATTGGGCTGGCAGCCTGCTCAGAAAACAGTCGATTAGTCAGTTTTGCGCAGCTGCTGAAAGGAAACGCCGTTTTCAAAAGTTGGTCCTTGCAGGTTCTGGTCTAGCCAGGCAGAATTTAATCTGACCCTCATTTGAGCCTTGGATTCTGCTGCTGCTCCTCTGTGGAGCTGTCCTTAAAATCGCTGAATTAGGGGCTCTAAATTTAATGCGCATTTACGGACTCTTAGAGATTCTCTTGTAGCCACTCTTGGGAGTCCAGATTTATTTTTATTTTTGGTGACGTCCACATTATGGAAATACTGCCTAGTTTGTTCCTTCCTAGTGCCTTTTCTGCTTTCCGCTTGGCTGAATTTATATTACCTAACAAAAGCGAATTGCTGTGGTCTTCTTGCCCTGGCTTCCTGTAGTCGTCAGGGGCCTTAACCTAACTTTGGTATTCATTTCCTTACACCTTTCACACCTTCCAGAATAAGAGGTTCTCAGGGATGGCAAAATATTGCTAATAGCGTTCATAACACATACTTAGGACGCTAAACTGTGAACTTTATAACAAACTTCTTTAACATTCATACTTGTAGAGCCTAGTACAGTAAATGTTGGGTAACTGAGTTAAGTCCATTAAAATACACCTCTTCTCCATTGCTCACTCTCTAAGCCAAATAAGAGTAGCTAATTTGTACAGCTTTTTTTTATTATAAAGATGTGGGGTACAGTTCAGGATTAGGGATACCAACACTGATTGTGCAGGTGCCCTTGTGGATGAGGTGTGCCCCTCCCTCCCCTCGCAGTTTCCCACCACTGCCAATCCCTTTCTTACAGTAGTATGATAATTGTTCAAGGTCCGCTTATGAGTGCGAACATATGGCACTCTGCTCTTTGTTTCTGTGATAGATCACTGAGTATGATCAACTCTAAATCCACCCAAGTTGCAGCGAGGTCCATATGTTTGTGGCTGCATAATATTCCTTTGTGTATATGTACCACATTTTTTAATCCAGTCCAGCTTTGATGGGCAGCATGACTGGTTCCATGTTTTTGCTATTGCGAATAGAACTGCAACAAATATTCATGTGCAGGTATCTTTTTTGTAGAATGATTTGAGTTCCTCGGGTATATTTCCAGTAGAAAAATTGCTCGGTCATATGGAAGGTCAGTGTGTAGTTCAGAAGTCGCCACAATGTTTTTCACAGAGGTTGCACTAGTTTGCATTCCCACCAGCAGTGTAGAAGCGTTCCTTTTTCTCTGCATCCTCGCCAGCATCTGTTGTTTGTTTTATTAATGATGGCCATT